TTGGGGGGGGGGGGGGGTGTTCATGTCCTTAAGTACGAAAGTGACCCCGTTGGCTTCGTACCACTCCAGGACAGCATTTGAATAGTGGCACGAAGCTAGATCCGGCCAGAAGATCGTTAGGCCCTCGTGTTGCTTCAACAGAGGAAGCAGACGCTTCTGTAGACACTGAAAGTTCCTGCTTCTTTACTTCTTCCGGAACATCAAATTTTGTGTTGGGCGGTGAAGATCAGTAGCCTCGGAAGCTGCCGGAAGTCCGTCTTGACGTAAATCTCATCATCCATGATGAGACAATGAGGCTTCGTCAGTATCTAGGTGTATAGCTTCCGGGCCTGTGACTTACCCACCGTATTTTGCCGTTCGTCACGATTTGAAGCCTTCTGCACTATGTACGTATGCAGTCCCTCCCGGTCCTTGGTTCTCTGAACGAAAGACTTGGACAGATTCAACTTTTTAGCCACATCCCTGACCGAAGCATTGGGATTCCGCTTAAACGCTTTCACGACACGCTTGTGATCTTGTTCACATAGAACATCCATTCGGACCGCATTTCTCCTTCCGTTCAATGCTCAGAGTTTCGTAGTAACGTTTAATCGCACGACTCACCGTTGACTGCAAGATACCAAGTTTTCCGATGTCCCAATGAAAGAGTTGAGGATTTTCCAGGTGCTTGCGCAAAATCAATTCGCGACGTTGCTTTTCGGGTGACGCCATTTTTTCAACTTTTGAAAAATTGACAGCGATAAAAATACAGTGTAAAAAATACACTCTAAACTACTTCTACCCAAATTTTCAAGAGAAAATATCCTGATGAATGTGGGCGTCTTAGTGGAATACCTGTATAATGAGAGAGAGAAGGATTAGTATTTTCCATTTAATTCCACTACTTTATTTGCTTATCCTTGACAGATACGCGTATTTCGTCTACAATGTGCAGACTTCTTCAGTGTCTTGTACTTGTTATACTCGACTGAAGAAAAACATCGCATTTACCGAATATATATTAACACAGGTACATTTTCACTTAGAAACTAGATAAACTTAAATTTAATTTCTTGTAGGAACATTACTGCTTACTCGTTGATGTGTCCTAGGTAGTAGCTTGAAAAGACATGTGTGTCCGTTTCCTTGATCCCTGTTGAGTAAAGTTGAATTACGTTGTTTGTTGATCTCGAGGCTTTCTGCAACATCCAATTTCCATGATGTAGATACGGTTCGTAAAATCGTGATGTCCTCCGTCGATTGTTGGTGGTCCTCTGTGAAGATGTGTTCTGCAACCCTTGATTTGAAATCATATGTTAGGCGTTTTTCCTCTTGCTTTTTGGCCTTATTAACCTCCGCTATATGTTCTTTAAATCTAGTTGCTAAAGTTCTCTTAGTTTGTCCTACATATACTGTGTTACAATGATTACAGCTTATTTTATATAAAACTGCTTTATCTAAAACATTAACTGGGTCTTTAGTGTATCCTAACAATGATTTCAACTGGTTATGTCTACTGGTGAAAACTAAATCTAATCCGAATTGTTTTAACTGTGGTCTTAGCTTACAAGTAATATCTTGATCAAATGGAACGGACACTCGTTTCAATGGGTCAGGTGCTACGGTGAGGGTTGTAAATAATCTACTTTGTAGAGTTCTCGCTTTTTTATCGATGATTGCCTGGATTGTGGTCTCCTTGTATCCGTTGAGTCTTGCTGTTTCGAAGATGTACTGTAATTCCTTAACCTTTCCTGTATCGCTAAGTGGAAGAGTCTGCATTCGATGAATCATGTGGTGAAAGGCGGCCATTTTCTGCTGGAACGAATGGTTGGAAATATAGGGGATAACTCTTTTGGTGCTTGTTGGTTTCCTGTAAATTTCGTATTCAAGCGAGGAAGATGATGACGATTCCCTGATGACTAGAAGATCGAGAAATGTGAGTTTCCCGCACATTTTCGAAAACAGTAACTATCTATCTGGTCAGGACCTCGAGCTATTCCATGTTGTAACCAATTAAGTCAAATCCCACGTAGTATGGGCACCGTTTACGCGATTTCCATTTACATTTTCCCTATTATTCGGATTTTTGGAGGTTTACTGTAGACAAAGTTTAGCTTGTTTAGTTCAAAACAAGTCTTTTTTTATGAAAACACATTTGTTTCAGAATGGCAATGGAAAACTCAAATGTTTTGTCCAAAAACAACAGCGCGAGTAACGGAAGGTTAAGAAAGAACACTAAGTAGAGAGCAGTTGGATCATCGAAGCCATCATCATAAAACTGATCTGCGATTGTGAGCTGTATAATGTCAAGTGCACTACCCCTGAAATAGTTATGAGCAAACATCCGATAAATCAATTTTCGCCCACTCTTTCCATAAACCTCATTACAAATCACCTTTTCATTTCGTTTCCGTTTCCGCCCTTAACTATTTATAGCTCTCCATTCGTTTGACAAAGTTGATCCTCATGCTGCAGCAAGCCCACCATGGTCCACCTCTATAGGTAGGTACGTCCTACTCTCGGCGGCAGCATTGAATTTCAAATCTCTGGCAACGGCCCGCACTCGCTCGCTTAGAAGTGCAAAACAACTTGGCACCCCTTTCGGTTGGTAGAAAGAGGAAAGCAGAGCACATCAAAAGGATAACGCTCTGCGGAACATTCAAACAAAACAGGAAACTACCGTCGAGGGCTGTGAAACCCACCAACAATGCTCAAACTCAAAGTGTGAGAAGAAAGCAAAAAAGGAAAAACCCTCTCGAAAAAATGCATCTCTAACATTTCCCGTATCGTAATCCACCATGTGATGATGACGATGACGGTGATGGCGATGGCGATGGCGACGGCGACGGATAGTTTTCCAGCATCATTTCGTGTTTTTCTTCGTTTTCCGTTTTCATTTTTTTATATTCGCTCGGTAGATATGTTGCTGTTGATCTCTCTTCCTTCTCCATTCAGAGAATCTGAAGAAAACTTTGTTAGTAGTCGAGTGAGAAATTCGGCCGCACCCTCAGTTAACCTACATATAAAAATCGTTCCGGAGCTCCCCGGGACCAAACGCATGACAACGACTAGGGGAAGGGGAGCCGAGCAGCCGGAATCGAAAACATTTCTCCCGTTTGGTGGAAGGTATCTAGCTACACCACTCTACCTACATTGTTGTCGAGCCATGCCACAACAGAGTCGATGTTGACGTTGGTCGGATGACTGCTGCGAAATGATGCTGCTCGGTGAGCTTGATGATGGCCGATGACGGGAAACGAGAGAAAAATGTCCCACCTCTCCGGTGTGGTTGGAGATAGAGAAATATGCTCTCTGCTTTGTGATGCGAGAGAATGAGAGCGGAAAATGTGATAATAGTGATAACTGCCTGCTGGGGAAATCTGTTTAGTCTCGGAAGATTGTCGACCAGTGTTGCGAGCAGTATTTCCACAGATTCAAGGGTGATATGCAAAACATAGTCTGTGATTTCTATATGGGGGTACATTTGGTGAAAACCGAAAATGGAGCATGAAACAAAATTGTGAAAGATTTGGAACGTTAATAACTCAGCTGCCCCTGGTCCGATTTCAAATTTTTTACCACCAATCGATCAGCAGTATTTCTACGCATCGATAACAGTGCTGTTGACTTTTGATTTTCAACAAGAAACTATTGAAAAAGTGGCAAATGTCCAGCATTGTCCAAAAGCGTCGAATTAACTAATAAATCGACCAATTACGTACATGCTTATGCTGCTTTCTCAACACAGTCATCAGAGAATCATTCCTAGACCAAACATATCGATGTAGCATTACGACGAGGATCGGTAGCTCAGTGGTTACTGTTTCTGCTTACTGAGCAGAAGGTCGGGGTTAATCCCAGGCCCGTCCCCATCCTTTCAATTTTTCACTTTGCCTTATCCTATCTCCACTCGATTTAAATAAAAACAAATTCTGCTTTAACCGATCGCATCACTTACCACATGAATCCTGATCTAAAAATAACCTACCTCACTAACACAACTATCCTTCCCGTGGAGCCGTGAAGATGTTGAGGAATTCTCGGTCTCTAGTAACAACCGCACTGTGCAAGTTGATTAGTTCTGATCATTCACCGAGGAGCAACTAAGAAGGTCGGATTACGTTAACTCGACGGCCAACATTCATTGATATCATTGTTGTTGTGTAAGTGAAGCCATGGTGATCACAAAAGAGGAAATCGATAGAGAATTGGGTTTCACCGCTTTTGGTTCTAGAGCACTTGCTGGTTGCAACTTTAAGATCAGGATTCACTGTGATGCGATCAGTGAAAGCAGCAGAAATTTCCTTCCCAACTCTCTTGTGGAATCTTTTAATGGCTATGAAAAGGGCCAGTTTTGTTAGATTTTGAGGGAGAAATTAAGAGCGTTCACCACGAATACGACGAGCCCGCTGAATGTCCTTTGGCATAATTGTGACACTCTTGACTTGGATGGCACACAGGTTGGTATCTTCGAACAGGCCGACCAGATGGCCTTAGCTGGATTCCTGCAACGACCGAGCTCTGGAAGCGCAGATCGGTCTTGAAAGTCCCGGGCAATTTCAGGAGGAGCCTTTCCTCCGGTGGACTTACGAGCGGTCTGCTTGGTTTGAGCCATTGTGCTTAGTTACGGTGCAGGTACGATGAATCGAACACGTTGAATAAAAATTTCAACCGTTCTCTCCTCTATTTAATAACATACTTTTGTTATTTTCAACCAATCATAAACGATTAAAGAACAAAAATGCAACAACTTGCAAGAAGAGTTTAGCCTTCGAGTAGGTATAAAAGTGGTATTCATGGTCAAAATAAGCATCATTTTTTGTTAAACCGTCAAGCAGGTCAGTATGTATTGAGCTCGCTCTCTAGAGTTAAATGGAAAGTTTTTCGCATCCATTTCTTGTCAACCGTACCCGAAGGCAGCTTAAAAAGCATAAACATTGCCTGGACGTGGCAAGGGAGGCAAAGGACTCGGCGAAGCAGGAGCCAAGCGTCATCGTAAGGTGTTGCATCATAACTTACAGGGTATTTCCAAGACTGTCGTCAGACTCGTCGTGATAATGCGTATCTCCGGTCTGATCTACGAGGAAACCCGAGGTGTGCTGAAGGTGTTGCAGGAAAACGTCATTCGTGACGCTGTTACCTACGCTGAAGACGCCAAGCGTACGCTCTGAAACGTCAGGGACGCACCCTGTATGGTTTCGGATGTTAAGCTTCGTTCATTTTCCCTATCTGAAACGGCCCTTTTCAGGGACAATAACTAATTTCAAAAGAGATGGTTTAGAAGTTCTACTAAACGTGGCATGAATGAAATTCCTGGAACGAGCAAAAGGGTAGCAACCAAGCTTCTAATCCTGAAGCAACTGGGCTGACTCTCTGAGTGCCCATTTCTCGTAGTGATGCTCGCTGCCTTTCCAACCACCAGGTCAACCCGTGTCCAGCAGTAGCCGTAAAAAGAAGTATTTATGGTGATCATATCATATGGTTGACACAAATCTTCAGGACTGCCGATTCTTTGCTGCATGCACGTAGCCATGGGGGGGGGGTCTTTGGGGCTGCATATGTCTGTTTTCGAATGCGCAGTTACGACTGCATCCATGTGCATCCTAGCTAACAATACGTGCAAATCAACCAGCAGAAACACCAGAGGAATACTATCGAAGAACAGTTTTCATTCCATGACTCGATGGATTGATCCAAAACATGATGGGACGTTTCACAAAAAATGATGACATCCTTCCGGTGTTCCAAATATTGTTGCCTGGTTTTACAGATATTGCAGAGTCATCCCAACTTGACAAACTTAACTGTTATCCCTGTGATTTCACCAGCGTGGTTGCCAGAGTTGCGACCTATCACAATCACGATCGCCAAATAGTTGATGGTAGTAACGCTTTGTACATTCCTATCAATGTGCTCGTCGAAGCTCTCTCCATGACCATCCATCAAGTTGACGAAAGAAGTAAAAAGCAACTGGTGAATGTCGTCTTCTGTTGTGATCCATCACCGATCTGGTCATTCCTGACAATCACGACACTCATCTGTGCTCGTTTTGAAGCAGTTGCTGCTTTGCTTGCTTATTTTAATGTGTTGGTGAGTGAGCCCAACAGCTTCCGTTTCATGTTGCCTGCTTTGTTTGTAACTCACACAGTCGCACCTGCCGAGACGAACTTGGAATGCGTAGGCATTGTTTTCATTTTCTTCTGTCGCATCGCTTTTTCTAATCATCGTACTGTAGAATTCTTCATCATCAGCAGCGAGTGTTACTGGTGATTGTTGTTTGCCATAGCTCTAACTCTCAGAGCGTGACAAAACGATCTGTAAGCGATAGTCGGTTGATGCGAAGACGAGTGTCACGTGAGTGTCATGATATTTTGCATCACTGGCTGGTTGCAGGTAAAAGTGGAATACGAGCTCTGGTGCCGGACTTCCATAAATATTAACAAGAATTTTGAGACATTTGGGCTGCTTGATCAATGTGACTCGACGTATTTTCCAACAATCAATGTTTTATTGAAGATTTTGGTGACACTCCCGGTCACTACAGCCAGTGTGGAAAGATCTTTCTCCACACTGAAACGAATTAAAACTAATGGGATACCAGCGACTTTCGGGCTTGGCTATAATATCAATTAACTGCTTAGAGTAAAGCTAGAAGATTACTTTTGTAATAACCAGGTATAATGTCCAGGGTATGGCTCTACTTCAGGCAGCACCCTGATCGGAAGTCAAATTCAAACTTAATCTAATTGCATTAAATATTTGCACTTATATAGCTAACTGGAACAATACAAAATATCACAGAATAACGATCAATTCAAAAACAAAACAAAAATACAGTGATGCTAAAACAAAAACTTAAAAACATACAGAATGATGAAGGCAAAAATATTCGCTGTTCGAGTTTCGTGTGAATCACATTGCTACCACTGCATCGAGGGATGCTTGTTTTTACAGCCTTCATAAATTTAAATGAATTAGGATCCGGTGCCGGTGATATTACGATTCAACACCATTAAAATCTTAAAATAATTATGTTTTAAAAAATATGTAACATATTTTTGTCTTTCTTAACAGAATGCAAGTCTTGATCATCATTACCAACAGAAAACAAACAAAACTACAAATATTTTCTTGAATTTCATACATTTGTTTACCTTTTCTCATAACTGCGTATTAAAGAGTTTGAAAAATTATTATTTTACATTCTGATGGTTCATTAAAACGTCCGATCAAAGATTAAAACGAATTAAAAAAAAAAATGATGACACATGATTTTGAACGATTTTGGTTGCGGTAAAAAAACAGTGTATCATTCGATGTTCAGTTATGCGTACATTTTATAAATCACTGTAGTTTTTATGTCATAAAATTAGCTCCCCCGAAACCAAATGCTGGCTACGGGCCTGAGCATAAATGTTTACGTTTTTTTTATAAAACTCAGAAAATCATGACATATTCTGACGCAGTATGTCTTTTTTCTTCATTCGTGTTGTTTTCAAAGATCTAAAAGTCATGAATACCTGAAATTTGTCAATGATGTAAATATTTACACGAAATGCATTGAAGAATTACATTGAGAAGAAAGAAATTCAAATTAACTCTAGAGCCAGAAATTTTTTATGACCCTGAAAAGGGCCGTTTGAATATTGTATTGTCAATATTGTCAGATGAGTTCTTATGAACGCAGCATGGCTTTGCTGCTGGCTCACATTCCAGTACGGAGCAGATTAGCAACGATGATAAATGCCCTGAGTTTTTTTTTTTTGAGTGATCCTCCGCTCTCCCCCACACCAAAAAGCTCGACTGCATGCTGAGCCCCCTGGTAGTGGACACTCTGAAATCAACCATATGCAACAAAACAAAAATAATTACTAAAAGGATATATGATTGAGGATTAATTTTAAATACTTATATCAAATGAGAGAGAGAGAGAGAGAGAGAGAGAGAGAGAGAGAGAGAGAGAGAGAGAGAGAGAGAGAGAGAAAAAAACATCTATGAGAAAACAATTTATATGCTTCTAGTGGAAAAAATATCCTTTGAAAGAAGCACACCTAAAAGAAAACGAAAAAAACCAACAAATTTAAATATTTCGAATATGACTACTGTTTTTCAGCAAAGCATTTAATATTTAGTGACGGTTGACATATGAATGATAATAAAAATAATAAATAATAATAAATTTCACTAAATTAATAGTTGCTAAACTCGTTCTTTTAAGAAACATTTTTTCTTAGTTTTGAAGGATGTTATATTTGTTATTTGTTGAAGATGTCTTGGTAAGTTATTATATTTGGCAGGACCTATAAAGGAAATCCGTTTTTGACCGAAACTGGAGTATGCACGGGTTCTTGACAGATGGTTAGTTTGCCTGGTATTGTGAATCCGAGGTAGCGTGTCCATAGTTTTGTTATGTAGTTAAAAGCCTACAACTCGAAAAGTGACAAAATTGGGCGATGGTTTAAAGTGTAAGAGTTATACTTTTCACTGTCAAGGCAAACGTTGCTACCCTCGAGGCCCAAGGAAGACAAAATTCCTATCAGAGACGTGTTGGGTACCCGCGATCTCTGCTATATGCAGTCGATTTATGTGTTTCTGCTAATGTCTAGTATTAGAATTTAATTCGTTTGTCTTTTGTATCTCTTTATTAGTTTTTGTTTGTCTAGTCCCCCGTCTCGATGAGTCTCATCGTCGCCCACTGGTCACCATAGCCGGTCGAACTCCAGACGAATCTAGAACCACACTACCGTTCATACTGGCGAAATCGCTCAGATGAGACAACGAAACCCTACCCCAAGCCCCTTTTTCCTATCCTTCGACAATGTACCCCTCTTACCTCGAGTAAGCCGCGAGTATTCGGCCCAACTCCTACTAGACATAGAATTAAGCAAATTTTGTTACAAACAAAGAACAATGAATTATCGGCTCCGTAAAGCTAACGCGATTGAGCCTTACAAATAAACGAACAAGATAAAAAAAAAGGTGAACGTTGCGAACGAAAATTAAGTCCACGCACGATCCACCAACACTAGTTGCCTCCGAAGAATTTGAAGGCATGTCCAGGTACAAATATTTCTTCATGAACTCGACAAACTTCAAGTTCCCTTCGTTCATGAGGTCCAGTTTAAAATTACCCAGCACAATCATGGGAATTGGCTCCAGGCAATATTTCGTCAGATTCCGATCACAAAAGTATTGCTTCTGCTTGTACGTCAAATCTGTACGATAGTAAATAGAACAGAAAATCAAAATATAAAAATGAGGTAAGGAAGATAGTTAAAATATATGGTTCAGATTAATATCTGGCTCAATAAAGATACAAATTAACAACGCTGGCAACGGAGATCTCCACTGCGCAGATGTCACCATATGCATCCGAGCGACCAAGCTCTGCGTCATAGCTCTTGCTAAGTTTATTGATCGTGGGATTTCAACAATTAAAAAATTGAGTGAACAGTACGATCCCATCCTCATAGAAACTGAAAAGCATGGCGATATTTGCGCAGCAAATATCCACGTCAGAGCTTGCAACATTATACTATTCTGCATATACCTGTCACCGAATACTACGATGAAGTAATCCAAAACCTTCATGACCAGGAATCTGTTCCACTGTTGAACGACAAATAATCCAATCATCGTTGCGGGGGTGATTTCAACGTAGACGTCTCGAAAGCTGAGCATATCGGATTCGTCCAATTTATGAAGAATTTTCTGCAACTCGATCTCGTTCCACACCCTTTTGAAAATTCATCAAATTAAAAAAAATGGAAGGGTTGTATACTAGATACGACCGCAGGATTGGCGTTGGATAACGTCTGTTATGTGTTGTACTTAATTGTGTATATTATATTTTAGGAATATTCCTTAATAACTCTTTTGCGAAAGTTTGGTGGCCCCAGTGTTGGAAAAATCATTTTCAAAAAAAGTTCTATCACAGCTCATTGCAGAGATAAATCCCAAGGGAACTTCTCACAAAAAGTTCGCGAACGAGAGATGATAAAAAGTTCATGAAAGCGTAGAGCGAGAGAAATTTTCATTTCGTATCGCGAAAGATCTTTCGTCTCTCCATCTCACATCATTTCACACGTACTCGTGATTCGAACCAACCAAATATCCCTTCAGCTTTGTTCTTTTTTTCCAGCGAGTAAAGGTAGGCGATGATCACGCGAGAGTGTCTGTTTGTTTTCTTCTCGTTCTCCGATATTTTTCGCATCCTTCACATTCAATACCATTGCCAGAGAACTTTGAGATTTGGGCGTAATTGCTTTTGTAAACAAACACGTCATTCAACGATTTCTCACGAACCAAAGCACAATCTAGCGAACTATACTATACCAAATGAATCATTCCTCTACCTGTCTGTGTTGTTAGTTTTTTAGATTGAACTTTAATTCACGAGAAATCGGCGAATTAAGTGTGTGTTTACAAAAGAAATTACGCCCTAATCTCAAAGTTTTCCGGATTTATTTATAGTTTTAGTTCTCAATGCAACCAGCTAATAGTAGATACTTGTAACTATTCACCAAGAGTCTAATCTTTGCTGACCAAATCATCATTTGTGGCTGTACTCTTCGACAAGAAGAACTATGCTATTAGTACAGTTAGACCACTGAGATTGGCGCTTAGACATGTTTAGTGTAAGCTAGCAAGCATTCTGTTGATTAGTCTTACTGCATTGAGAACATGCTTATTAGGGTGGTTCAAAATATCGGCTTTGCTTCACTAAGCTCAATCGATTTTTAATCAGGTCCAGATAATTCTCCCAAAATTTGGGCTTATTGGGTTGTGATCTCATTCTGCACTGGCCATCTAAAATTTATAAAGGTATTACTATGCTAAAAGTGATTATTTTGTTCACCTCGTCTTTAAATTTCGCCATAATGATCTACCAATAAGTTAGCCTTGTGTACTCATAGGAAATTTTTTCAGCTACATTTTTTTCTAAAGACCACTTTTTAATTGAACGTTGAGGAAATTAGTTATTAATTGATTTCTAATCTGCTAACTTTCTGATTTGATCACTCGACTGCATTAGGTAGAGGGCAGCAATGTAACCCAGTAGCTCGCCCGGTAGCTTGAATTTCCACACAACCTTGAATGAAAATATTAAATTTGCTGGTCACTGGTGCCATAAAGCTACTGTAACTTTTTTCATGGATCTCAAACTGCAAACAAAAATCTATTAAACATCGATTCTAAAAAAATAGTTTACTTGATAATTTTTATTCAGCAGGTGTATTCACTTGGGAATTCATCACTTCGCAAGTTGAAAGTATTTTGAGATTGTCTGTTAATTTCAAGTCTTGCAATACTTGTGGATGAAAAATTTAGATCGTTCTCAATCTGTCACTATATCAAAAGCTCAAGGTACATGGTTACTTTGATTAATTTTGTGTTCATTTCCAGCCAACTGGTAACAATTTTTCGTTTTCTTTTTTTCCGGCCTATATTTTTTACAGTTTTAATGGACATTGAATAACCTGTTTAAATTTTTTATCATCCTAAAATGCACACTAAAAAGATGTTTTTGTCAGATCCTTGGTCAGCAAATAAAGCGTTTTGAAGTTCAGCAGTGCAGCAGTCCCGCATACCTTATGGTTTTACATAGGGAGGATCTAGACCCTTTCTAGTTTTACATTGTTTTAAAAGGATTCCCAGACATGGGAGAGGACAGTAATAGCACAGTGAAAAAGTTCACCACCACCTATATTCCCAACCATCCCCCCCTGCTTATAATTATTGCATAAGAGCTTATATGAACGATATTACGAACACTAGTGATGAGAGGAGCCATGCATTAACTGTATTTCGCGAAACTGAGGATACATTAGGCGCTCCTCCTTCCGCACCCCCCCCCCCCTTATCCTGAGGAACGGTTTTAATATAAAAATTGCTAGTCACAAAATCTTACACTACCCTCCCCGTTCCTCGTTAATGCCGCGTTGACACTTGTGCTGATTCCTTTACTTTTTTTCGCCAGAAACCAATGCACCAATCAATCAGCTGCACAAAACTGTTCACATCATCCTGATAACGGTTACTTTAAACAACAGGCACCAGTAGACAGCCAGCTACCAGACTTATCAGGCTTTAGAGATTGTATTGATTTACTCGGGATAGCTTTCTGTCTATAATCTTTCCCTTGTGAAATGTGCAGTGCAATTTTCCAGAACGAATGTGGTGTAAAGAGATAGAGAGAAAAAATGATCTGATATTTTTCGTATCCTCGCGTTGGTGATTCGAGTTAAAAAAGTTCGCGATATCTCATTCTCTCATCCCAGAAAGTTCGCTCAGGAAATATTGGAGTGTGAAACTAGTGAGGGAAAGTTCCCAAGAGAAAATGTATCGCAAGCGAAAATGATATTTTGGTGAGAATTCCATCACTGTCAGTATCATTCCCACTAAAGAATTTATCAAAACCTAACCCCCTTGAGTATTCATCCCCAAGGTAAAACTGTCAAGATCACAAGTATAAAAATAAAATTACAATGTGTAGAATTTTAGAACAAATGTCTAACAAATTAATTTAAAATTTCAGGCTAAAATCATTGCAATTCTCAATTGCAACAACTAATTCCCTTTATACTTAAATAATATTTGGTTTTAGTTTTAGTTTTAAGATGTCAATTGGTATACTCACACGCAGGCTTAGAAAACCTGTGTAACATACTGAATTTCCAAGGCAGGAACAATGAAAAAAACACTTAGATATATATCATAACAATTAAGGCTGGTAAGTTATTGTTAAGGTTGAAATTGGTTTTGAAATTGTTAAGGTTAAAATAAAATGTTATTTATTTTGAATTTGGAACTTATAAAGAGTTTAAAAAAAGACAATTTTATATTTACCTTTAAGCTAGGTGGGAGAGGGAGGGGGGTTTTTAAACCGCTGCACCAGTGGTTATCTTGCATAGGAATTTTATTACGTTGAAAAGTAAAAACTGTCATGATTCGTGCCCAGTTCTATGACAACACTGCCTGTGCTACTATCCGACTAAAGACAATGTCTTTGGCTGTGCCAGAGACAACTGAACCTGCACGCTTCGTTAGAATTGGGAGCGCTTTCCCGTATCAAATAGAACAGTTCAACCACTCTTCGCTCCCCAACCCCCTGCACGAGACAGCTCAAGGATTTCGAACCCAGAGTTCTGTTGCTGCTGCTGCTGCTGCTGCGGGAAAATGCGGAGAGAATCATGAAAATTCGGGAGCAGAGCACACGCTGCACCCGTACGACAACGACGACAACAACCAACGAAGGCGACGTCGCTTTTCAGGGGAAAATCAGGCTTGGTCGCCTGCCGAATCGAACCTAAATAAATAATCCTATCGAAGCGCTCGCGAGCTGCAGACGTGCGAATCTCCGGGTCGTTTGATTCGTGGTGTCGATACATGTACAACAGTGAGTTGTTGTATGTAGTCAACTAGAGTGTGGTGGATAAATAGGCAAATTGGAATAAGCAGCAGGAAAAGGGAAAATCCGACAAAATCGTCCTTTGCGTTGCACCATTATTCGATATTATTCCAACGGGCTTACTAACAGTCAGTCAGTGTGCATAGTTCGTTGTCGCCGCGGAAGTGTGCCAAATAGCAAACGGGAAGAAGCAAGGAAGAAGAAAATCAGGGTGGACCTGAGCAATCACAGCCAAGGGATTTCCGTTTGGAGTGCTCTGGTGGAAAATGCAAAGTGCAGTGAAGCTATAAGGTGGGCAAAACAAGGAAAAGAATGGAAAAGTTGGGGTGGCACTGGGGAGTGGTCGTTGGATCAGTTTCCGGTGTATGTGGGATGTGCTCAGTTGTATCATAATGCAAAACGGTGTTGTTTGGGAGTGGACATCCTCGGAAGATTTGCGTCAGCAGCAATCTTCGCTACCAGTTGTGTGGTGATAACAAAAACAACCAACTGCTGGCATGTTAGCAGGGAGGTAGAAGTGTACCGAGAAGAAAAATCCAACACGAAGAAGACGTCACGTGTCATGTTCCACGGTGGCTGCTGCTAGGCTGGTGGCTGCTGTGAAGGACGTCATAGAAGGAAAAATAAGGTCTCTTCTCGGAATAGGGCGTCACGACGACGCCGTCATCATGAGAATTACCAACCAGCCACAGCCGCAGCAGCAGCAAAAGGGCAAAGGCTACATTTTTCGGGACTAGAGCCTTCTTACAGAGTTTTGGGGAGCAAGCAGTGGCAGCCAGAAACTGATGATGCTGTACTGGGGCGAACCCATGAGAACCGAACCCCAAAGAGTGAGAGCAGCCAACAACCTATATACACATACAAGTACATAGTTGGGTGCTAGTGGTGCGGCAGTTGATTAGTATCATGTGGAATCGGATATTCAGTGTGTACTTTTCGAGAGGAGCGATTTTATTACCCAAGGATCAGCGCGCTGAGTTGGGTGGAGTATTTGTTTGGTGGCTCCTGTTACAGAAGCACTCAAGGAGGCAACACCTTAGTTACATCATCGGGTTTGGGTTCAGTTTCGGTGATCGGTGGTTTAAGGGATTACAGTTCGGTCTTATGTAAAGTAGCTCAAAATGATTAGTTTGGAAAGAGAAATGTTGGAATCAATTATTAGTAACTAAGCTTATTATTATTAATATTTCTATTGCTACTACGTGCTGACTGAAACTTTGCTCGTACCTTCAACTTTGAGTTCTTTGAGCACTTCCACAGTTGTTGGTAGACAGCGAGAAATTTTTCAACCAAAATATTTCCCTGATTCTACTGGAAATCTTCCAGATACCTAAATGGTGCGCCTTTACTGATGATTTTCATCATCAAAGGTCTGTGCACCAAAACATCATCTATATGCTTATAGTACTGGCATTTAATGTGAATGTTTTCATTGAACATACAGAGTACTTATTAATAGACATTGAAATACAACAGCAATACTTCGAGAGATTGAAACTAATTATCTTTATAACTGCGTGTTGACACTGATTTTTATTTATTTTAATTATTTAAAACAAAACCTGTAATTCTGATGGTTTAGGGACAAAAGGTCGAAAGGCAGAAGGGCGAAAGGCAGAAGGTCGAAGGACACAAGTTCGAATGAAAAAAGGTCGAACGGTACAAAACGTCGAAAGGGACAAACGATGGAAAGGACAAAAGCGGGTGTAAATATTGTGAAGCTGATTTGTAATTTTTTTTTTTTGTTAATTACTTTATTTGTACAGAATAAACTTTATCGAGCCAAGTTATCATTTTCTTTATACATTATAAATGTCTTAAATCTAAAATTAAAGGATTTGACCGATTAGTCGCGGTCTTCTCGAGGTTTGTGGATGACAATTGTTTGGATCGAGAGAGGGAAAAGGAGATTTGGAATATGATTTATGATTAAAAAATTTCACTAACATGTACTTAATCCTATCGACGTTATATCAATTCTGTAATTATAAAATTATTACAGAAACAAATAAACAAAAAAAAAATCAAACACACACACAATACAAACTAAACACAGGGTCAATCAAACTTACAATATATGGTTAATATTCTTAAAGAAAATATATATGAGTTGCTCCAGGAACTCCAGATCGCGTCTAGCCCAAATATCCCGAACTGGGACATTAGGTTGTCTACCTCGAGCCTGAAGGGAACCGTACAACTCGGATCTGAGTCCACGGTGCTCAGCACATGACCAAATAATGTGATCTACGTCCTGGTAACCTTGTCCACATTGACAGAGATTACTGTCCCCCAGCTCAACACGGAACAAGTGAGCGCTTAGCGAATAGTGATTGGACAAGAGGCGAGACATCACACGAATGAAGTCTCGAACCACCTCCAACCCTTTAAACCAAAGATACTCCATTTATGAAGAAATGAAGAAAAATTCGTCGTAGGTGATTTGTCGATCGTAAATATCGCCTTCCATAGCACCACCTTTGCAAGCGAGTCCGCCTTCTCATTGCCCGAAATCGAGCAATGAGATGGAACCCATGCAAAGGTGATGACAAAAGATCTTAAAGATAAAGCACTTAGAAGCTCTCGTATTTTCATGAGAAATACGAGGAGTGCTTTACCGGCCTAATGGAGCGAATAGCCTTGACAGAACTGAGACTATCCATAAAAATAAAGTAGTGATCTGGTGAAAGTGAGGCGATAGTTTCTAGCGTATAATGTATTGCCGCCAGCTCAGCAACATATACGGAACAATAATGATCCATCTGTGAAGAACGATCTTGCGGAATCAACATGGCCAAACTTTGCAGCGATAATTGACGGAACAATCATGGAACGATGATATTCTGGGATTCCGCGAATCTCTTGCGTTATAGATAAATCAAAACTAACTGAATTTCCGAACTCGGAGAAGCATACACGATTAGGATTATGCTGTGAAGGGCTGACATCCTGGGTTATGTACCCGTAGTACAATGACATAAAACGAGTTTGAGGGTTTAGCTCAAGAGGCCTCTCAAAGTTTTCGATTACCTGTGGGTTCATAACTTTACAACGGGTGAGGAGCCTGAGGGACAATTCCAAAAACCGATCAGAGAGTGTCAACATGCCCGCCAACACTTCAAGACTTATCGTATGAGTCGAGTGCATGCATCCTAACGCGATATGAAGACAACGATACTGGATACGTTCCAGTTTGATGATGTGTGTTTTAGTCGCCGACTGGAAGCAAAAACTACCGTACTCTAAAACCGATAAAATCGTTGTCCGGTACAACGTTAGAAGATCTTGCGGAAGGCCTCCCCACCACGTTCCGGTAATTGATCGAAGGAAATTGAATCGAACCAGACCTCAAGATATTTGAAAGACATTAAATGAGTGATCGGCTTACCCAAAAGTTGAGGCTACGATTGTGCTGGGCTATGCTTCCTAGAAAAAAACGACCAACTCAGTTTTCTCCGTGGAGAATTCGATACCTAGCTGGATAGCCCAAGTACACAAATTGTCTAAGGTATCCTGTAAGGGTCCTTGCAGGTCGACCCCTTTGGGCCCTGTCATAGACACTACGCCGGCATCTGCAAGTTGTCTCAAAGTGCAGTTGTCACTTAGACAATTGTCAAATTCTCTGACGTAGACATTGTACAAAAATGATCCCTGGGGGAGACCCATGCTAAATCGTGAAGCTGTAGAGTTTCCATGAGAACAGCTCATATGTTTGCTCTAACAGCAAATTGTAAAAAAGTTATTAATTAATGGAGAAAGGCCACAAGCGTGGAGTTTGTCTGAAAGGACTTCAACCGATACTGAATCAAAAGCCCCCTTAATATTCAAGAACACATAAGCCATTTGCACTGTTTTAGCAAAAGCCAACTGAATTTCTGTGGAAAGCATCGCGAGACAGTCGTTCGTTTTCTTGCCCCTACGGAAACCAAATTGAGTATCTGAGAGTAGGTGGTTCATCTCAACCCATTTCTCCAACAATGATTTGCCATGACTTCCAACAAATTCTCAAAAGTAAAATATGATTTTATACTACTTTCCCTTCTTTGAGAGTTGTTCGTTTTGTAAAATTTTATTTGCATAGATTTTGCTGTTGAATGATAAGGAAAATGGATGTAATGTTGGCCTAAATGCCCCTAATTTAGGCCCATACATAAATTCAAAAATCGACTAAATTTTCAATAGCGGCCAAAAATATCCATTAGTACCATCCGATTGACGCGTTCATCTAGATAAAATTGATAAATAGCAGATGTTTAATGATAGGCCTAATCTTACATCCATAGACCATCATTAGAGCCATTTCTCCTATAATATAAATGACTATCTATTCAAAATACCCTTCTTAGAAAGTTTAATCATGAGAATTCTTTAAGATAGGGTATGTGAGCCAGTTTTGGCACCAATTAGTAGAATTATGCATATATAACTTTTCCGCGTTTCGTTTTAGTTAACCGGGAAACAACCCAAGTAAGCAAAAGTTCCGCATGCAACGATTAAAATCACTTCCAAGTTCCATAAAGTTCAAATAAAGTTCCGACAGAACTTTCAAATTCCATAAAGTTCAAATGAAGTTCTGAGAGAACTTTCAAGTTCCATAAAGTTCAAATAAAGTTCCGACAAGACTAACAAGCTCAATCCGCACAAGTCTTTATTAGTAACACAATTTAATGTACGTAAATATGAAATGATCAGTGGCCTGAATAAATCATAATTCTTAAATTTATGCAGTGCATCAACATTCTACCAAACATAAAAAATAAAAAGTAGTTTCCTGGATTCGAATCCGTGTATTCGGCATGCGATCTACGATAACCACTACGCCACAAGTGTGTTGGAATACCAAGTGGACAAACACCAATTTAAAATTCATCAAGGTGTTGTGTTTCGTATTCAAGTCAGTCAGTTGGCACTGAAAACTCCAACAGTAGGCGCTACAACAGCTCACTTTAATATATCTCAGATGACGTAGCGGTTCGTGATGGGGCTCTCACGCAGAACGACGGGGTTTAATTCTTCAAATAGCTCCAATTCTACTACTAATGCGATAAATCAAGTACACATGAATACCTGCATTTAGAAATAACTATCATAAAAGTGCGAACTAAATATAGAATTGGTGTAAAGGACAAAAACCTTTTTTAATTTATTTTCTAAAAGTTCCGTTCGAGTTTCGCCAGAAGCTGCTTAGCATGCTCTTCAATTATGGTACCGGAACTTTCAAGTTCTTATAACGACTTAAAAATGAGGCTGCTTAGAATTCTATAGACCACCTTCAACCAAGCTGCTTAAGC